CAGGGGGCTGTAACCACCGGCAGCTCTTCAAGGAAGAAACAAACCCCAAAACCCCAAACCACGAAGTCAAAACACTCTAAATAAATCACTCACTTTTCAAATCAAAAGCAAGGTCCGGAGGGTGCAGGAAATCAACACCTGGTGTTCTCCCACTCCCTGCCTCCATAACAAGCTCCAGGGCGGTGCTGGAAAGAGGGAAGCGAGAGGGCACTTACCTAACTGTTCTGGGGATGGAAAAACCAGCGTGCGGCAGAGGAAGGACCATGGGCTCCCAGGACACTCAGCTCTTCCGAATCCAGCACGGGTCCATTTTCTCTCGTTGCAGAGCCCCGATGCCCGCGCTCCCCGTGCTCTGCCTTGCCTGTATGAGCGGATTTCTGAGCCGCCTCCTGCTTTCCAACTCCAGCACTGCCCAACTTCCTCTGCAGCTGATAGCCGGATTATTAAAGTAAACTGACTGCTGCCCTTTGTGAAGGGAGGTGCGGGAGAGCGAGGGAAGCCCAGATCCGTCCCTTCTTTTGTAATTCAAACCCTTTCTTTAGCTTCCCTGATTGGGAGGAGAGGCATCTGCTCCCAGCCTTTCCCCAGCTGCCGAGGCGCTCACGCAGGTACTGGCTCTGGTCCAGACTGGATGAGCCACATTGCAAATCAAATTTACGTGACAAAGCAGCTCAGCTCTAATTAAACGTAATCTAGCCTGCTTTTGTATCGTCTATAATTAGAGCGGTACAGCAAACACACGGGGAAAGGAGCAGGGGGACCTGCCCATGGCTCTGCGGGCAGGCACATGTAGGCGCGCTAGGCTCTGCACAACTCCCAGGAGCTAAAGACTTCCATTAGGCCATTAGATAATAGACTTCTGCCCATTTCCAATGTGGAAATCTCCATCACTGCCCAAGATAATTGACTGATCAACAGCAATAACAAGGGATTTGGTTGCTCCTGGGGGAAGGCGGCGTCAGCTCATGTTTCCAAACTCTCCGTGAGAAGTGGGCGCTTGCCCCTGAAATCCATCAGTAAAGCATCGAGACTCTTGCCCACGCTTTTGTGTGGGGATGGGCAGGCACATTTTCATCATGTCCTGACCATACTTACATCTTCAAGAGCTGGCGCCATACAAATGCGGGGTGCAGGGCCTACTTCCCGCTGTTTGTAATTCACCCTTTAAATGACAGAAGGTGCCACCAGTCCAGGTACGGAGCGCTAACTGGACTGGCAGGTGCCAGGGAAAGCCTCCCGATGGGAAGGAAGCGTGGTCTTGTGGTTACAGCACTGCTCTGGGGCTGCGGCTCAATTCTGGCTCTGGCACAGCTGGCCGGTGTGACCATGGTCACTTCTCTTCACCTTGCTGTGCTTCTGCACAAGGGGTTACTAATATCTCCTGTGTCTGCATGTGGTCTGTCTTGTCCGCTAGGACTGTGCAGTGCTCAGGATGGGGACAGTCTCTGATGGCACGTTCCTGTTTAACGGGGTGGATGAGAAGCCCAGCGCATGAACTGCTTATATCCAAGGTTTGGGAACCAGAGAAACAACAAGAGCAGCTTGAAAGTCCCCTTCCTTGTCCTGCCTTAGCTGCTGCTGTCCTGGAGTGGGGACAGCCCCACTTACATCTGGTCAGCTGAGTACTAAAGGGAGCCCCGGTTAGCTCTCACGAAGGGCCTAAATTATTTCCCCTCTCCAGCAAAACCCTGTCGAAACCCAAACTTTTCCTATCAGCTCCACCCGGACTAGCAACGAACCGTCAGCTCTAGTGGCAAGACAGACTGCTCCTGTGCACCACGGTTTAATTTCCTAATGCAGTCCAATAGCCAGGCAGGCTGTCTCCGCTCAGAAGATTTTAATTCACTCCATCAATTCAGAAATTACAGCCAAGGACAAAAGCGGAAAAGGAAAATGGACTATCCTGCTCGAGTTCCCACAATCACAGAATCACAGACAACGGGGGCTGGGAGGGAGCTCAGGGGGTCACATCCAGTCCAACCCCCTGCTCCAAGCAGGACCAGCCCCAACTACATCATCCCAGCCACGGCTTGGTCTACCTGGGATTTAAAAGCCGCCAAGGATGGAGACCCCACCACCTCCCTGGGAGACCTGTCCCAATGCTTCACCACCCTCCTCGTGAGAAAGGTTTTCCTAATATCCAACCTCAACCTCCCTTGCTGCAGCTTGAGCCCATTGCTCCCCCCCCCCAGCAAAAGGCAAAGCCCGCGACTGTCACACGTCCCATCTCAGGCATCTAAGACCACCCCCTTGGTGCTGACAGCCGGTTGCTGGCACTGCTAGTTTGTCTTGCACCTTCCACGCAAGCTCGAAGGAGGAGGAAGCTGAGACTCGACTCTGACTAGGAAACAACACATCCTGCCACAGGGAGACTGCTGAGCAGAGGTGCTGGGGGCTGAACTGCCTTCGTCTGGAGGATGGAGCTGGAAGGAGAAAGCAGCCGAGGTGTCTTCTGTTACGGCACTGCACAACGTCCTGACCGGGCTTCAGCAGATGACGCGAGACTCCCGGCTGAGCCCACCCGGCGCTTCACCGTCCCGCCAACCTCGACGAGGCAACTTCCTAACTCAGCACGTGACATTTGCAAGACACGTGGGTGCACGGGCCTTCGCCTCCAACTCGTGTTTAACCTGAGCTTGGTTGCTCTGGCACCAGAGCCCTGCCGTGTCCCAAGCTGATAGACAAGAAATAAAACCGTCTTTGTAGATACTCGCAATGAGGCAACAAGGGCAAGAAAAGGTCAACTGAAAAGGAAACAACATTTCTGAGGATGCATTTGCAGAATAACAAATGAGAAGCAGCCAAGCGGGGCCTGCAATTCTTGCACCAACCTAGCAGCAGACAGGCTAGAGCCTGTTCTCGCTGAAGTCAAAGGCAAAGCTCCCGCTGACTTCCGCTGAGAGCAGGATTAGGCCCTTTGTAAGCAGCTTGTTGCCGTTACCGTCGACTGGCACGGATCTGGAACGCTACCAACAGGGCATTTCACCGTCGAGAAGGAAGTAACAATTTCCTATTAGCCTGAAGAGCAGGAAAATCTACTGGAGTCATGAAGAGCGTGTATAAATTATAATTATTTGACCCAGGTGCTGTGAACACAAACCATAGCTACAATTCCAAGCACAAGCACATGCAATTAGCATAATTTACGCCGTAAGTGTTAGGTGTTCGAGGCATGCCGATGCTTCGCCTCGATGCAATGGAATTGCACAGGACGACATACAAGCAGCCTTCAAACCACTGGGGAGTCAAAACGTCGACGGTTCACAGATGGCCCACTGTTTTCCTCCTCAGATGGGTGCCTGCTAAGGAAGGGGTTGCACTGACATGGAGAATGAAATCAGATGGGAAATGTCTAAGCCAGTGGGTTTTGACCTTTTTTCATTCGCAGACCCCTAAAAAATGTGAATGGAGGTGCGGACCCCTTTGAATTGTAGGCGTGGGTATTTCCATGCTTTTGATTGATCATAGTCATCTTTTGCAACCCCCTAAAAAAATTCTGAATGGAGGTGCAGACCCCTTTGAATTGTAAGTGTAGGTATTCGCATATTTTTGATTGGTCATAGTCGTCTTTTGCAGACCCCTTAGACAGTCTGCAAACCCCCAGGGGTGACCCCTGTCAATGTTTTGACTCCCCAGCAGTTTGAAGGCCCCTTGCATATAATTTTCTATGTGATCTGTGCACTGGTCTAAGCCATTGGGAGCTGGGGGTTACCAAATATAGCCCCTGGCATGAAAGCATGCAGCCAGTCAGACTTACAGTGGCAACAACCAGCAAAGACGGTCTTCTCTTATTCCACCACAGCCCTTTCTGCTTCCAGCCTTGCACCTCTTAAAGCGATCGCACCGTATCCCTTGTGCACGGACTATGAGCTCACTGCAGAGCCCGGCCCAGTGGGACTCAGCCCGATACTGGCCTTAAGGCACCAGTGCAACACAACAGAGGAGCACGAAGGTTGGGGCGGACGGCTGTCCTGGCATGCAGGTAGCACACAACTGTGCGCCATGGCGCTGCTGTATGAACACACAATGCAAAAAGTCAGCTTCTCTTCTCACTCCTGCTGGTGTGAACTGATGCACTTGGTGTTTACACGGATGCTACCGACGTACTCAGGACTCATCCTGGTACAGCACAGCAGGAACTGCCCCCATGTCAGGGCACCCCCCATCCTAGGACCCTCTCCCAGCCGCTGGTGCCACAGCAGGTCCAGGAAGAAAGTGCCCAGACACATTCGTATCTCCTCGCGGCAGACCACTCATCACTCTTTGCCTGGAGGCAACAGTTAATTTAGAACAAGTCAGTGTTGAGATGGCAGTTTAAAATCCTCTTGAGGATTGCCCCAGGAGAAGATTTTGTCCTGCTTCTCTGTAGCCACTCTAGATTTCAGCTGAGCCTCTTTATTTTGGTTTCAGAACTTGCTAGATATTAAAAATAGAAATGGCCAACTAGGTTATATCGAGTGCATTCCCCGGCCAAGGAAGGATGGTCTCCTTCAGCCTATTTCCTGTGGCTTTCTATAAATCACAGAAATTAGTGATGGATAAGAACTATGAAGTCAGCGGGTCCGCGGGCCCAGGCCCCAAGTTGTTGTGTCCGTTCTACCTTCATCTCGGTAGGAGAAGCTGCTAATTTAGAGCCCAAGAGAATGAAGAGCCTCTTTGCTTTCCCAGCAGGTCCTCAACAGACCTGAACCCGCAGCCCTCCCAAACAGGTCGTCTGCTGACCAGGACCGCTCTCTAAAATACTTTTTTTTTTTTTTTAAACAAAATTTGTGTGTCCCCCCAGTCAAATTAGCCAGATCCGTTCCAAATCCGCGTGAATCATTCAAGAACCATATGTAGCCCTGCTACCGGCCAGCATCCTCTACCCCGATACTTCCAAATCCTTTGGCGGGCATCCTACAGGCAGGCCGAAGCCCGGAGGCTTGGGGTTCAGATGCCCCCGAGTTTTCCTCACCCCAGCCATACGGCCGCAGGAGCAAGCCAGGGAGGAGTCACCCACGTCCATAAAGTCGGTGTGTAGTCGAGATCCTCCCACTGGAAGGCAAAGCGGGAAGCTCTTGTAGGGAGTCCTGTCTGCAAGCAGACAAGGGAGAGACCCTGCACCCCACAGTGCCATTTTAATTGCATTACCTTGGCCAGGGCGCAGCCCCCTGCCACGTTCGCGGTTCTCCCATGCCAGTAGGAAAACCACCTGGTATTTCCCCTGCCAGGTGCTCCCCGCTTGCGGGGAGGTAAATATGATCCCCAGGGAGGAATTAAATCAGAACAAGCTACTCTGCTTCCTTGGGGGTTGTTTCGCCCTGGTTGCAGCCTTTCCTGGGGAGGAACTTGGCTGAAAGCATTTCACCTGCAGTCGGTCCACGCCTTTTGCCAAGGACTCTTCACGAAATATTTTGGAAAGCAATTACCTTTCAAATGTTGATGCCTTGCTGTTGACAATGGCTGACATGCCATTTATGTAAATTTGGAGGGTGCTTAAAGAGGGTGTTTACAAGCAAAACACTCTGTTAAAAGTCTGCCTTCATAGCAGATAACAAGGCTAAGACAATGACAGATTTCATTCCTCTAAGCAGTCAGAATTAGGCTCCTTCCCATCCCGGCGTCCCCGTGTTTATCCAGAATGCTGCGAGAGAGCAGGCACCAATATGCAATTAATTGGCAGTCTGCGAGAGCATATTGCCGAAAGATAAACAGAGTGGGTGATTGTGTCATGTGTAAAATGGCTGAGCACTGCAGATGTAGAGCGCTGACCCAGTTCAAAAAAAGTAATTTTTTGTCTTCTTGAAAAATAATTGTATTTAAATGACTACAGCTTTGCGCGCTCCCTCTGGCCTTCAAGTGTTTTGTGTGTGTAAGCCGTTCCAGGTTTCTTCTCACCCTGAAAGTACTTGGGTAAAATAAGAGTTTATTGAAAACTTTTATTGCTGATGCCAGTGGAGTGTTTCATTGGGAGGAAGTTTTTCACGTGGTAGTGCATTAGGATGTGGTGTTAATGGCCTTCATTAACTACAGAGAGCGTTTTGCAAGTGGGAAGAGAGGCAAGGTGCTGGTCCAGAGAATCTCGCTCTAATGGGGAAGCAAATGAACAACGCAGAGATGGGATGTGCAGAGAGCGCGAGGGAGGACATCAGAGCTCGAGGACATCAGAGGACAAATGGACGTTACGGACGGCTTTGGAGGAGGGGAAAGGAACGTCTCATGTTGGCAAAATAGGGGATGATCCCAAGGCCTAACCTGCTCCAGCTTCCAAACCTGGGGGGCACCATGAAAGAAGACGCAAAGAGAACATGACTCTAAGTAAGAAAGGAAACAAAGGAAGAAATGAAGAGAGGAAACTGAATGAGTTTTAAGGGAGGGGTACTGAGATGGAAGAAGTCAGAGCCGAGATGCAGGCTGAAGCCAGGGAGGACCTTGGGGAAAAGCAAGATCCTTGCAGAAGGACCCTGGGGAGAAGGAAAAGAGGGGGATTGAAACTGGGAATCATTGTGATACGCTGCAGGACAAAAAACGCAAAGAATATACTGATCTATGCAAAGTCAGGAGTGTGTACAAGTGCCTAAAACTGCAGAGGTTGTGCAGCTAGTGAAAGGATTAATCAAGAGGAGCATATGCACCATGATCAGAGCAGGAGCAGATTTGGCTGAGGTTTCTGGATCAAGTGGATGGCAGAGATGCCAAACAGAAAAGCCACTCGCTTGAGCTTGTGCGAATCCTTACACCTCGTTTTCTAGACTTTTAACAATTCTCTGCAAATCCCAGCAGCTGCCCCAATAGCCACTAGGTAGAATAGAGCTGGCCACCCACACCTATGGGGCTCTCGTCCCTTTTATTGTCTGAGGGTATTTGGAAAATCACAACACCGATGCAGGTGATACAGAAATCTCTTCCAATTCATTTTAAAGGGTCACTACCGCCATTGTCACCGTCCTGCAGATGCCTAGTCCCAGACCCAGCTCCGAAGCCCCACGGGGATGGATGCTGCACACACACAGGGCACAAAAGGATGTTCTCGAACCAGATCAACAGGATATGCTGGAGCACTCCCTTACCCTGGCAGCCGACCGAATAGGAAAATGACTGCGGCAGAACTTCGTTTTACCGACGAGAATCACCTTTTGCCTCTCCCTCAGCTCAGAGGGTGAAACCAGCTTGGTCTTTCACCTGCAGCGTGCGGTCTGTGGGCTCATTCTGCTCCCAGCTAAACCGGTGCCCTTCCAGGGCCACTCCACACACCTGGGAGCCAGTCCGGTTGTGCTTTCCGGGCTGTAGGCACCAGCCCAACGCAGACAGGTTTGGCTTCCAGATGCAGGGTGCACCTATCCCTGTTGTTTGCTTGGGGTTTGTTGTTGTTTGAATTCATGCAGACCAACATTTCCCGACCAGGATTCCCAAACAAAAGGCGCAGACCTGGAACTCTGGCCAAAGCAGCACCCGACAGTCCCGCTACTTCTTGAAGTGCCCGAGGATGGCAGCAAGCGCCTTCCCCTAAGCACGCAGGTCGGGAAGCGGGTCGTCTGTCTTTGAAGAGGTTTCTGACCACATCCGAGTACGTACCCGGTCCCGTTGTCGTCCGCTGCGTGACATCGGGGCTCTACACCGGGTTCTCAATCCGGGCCAGGCATGCCCCACGACCTTGCCAGCAGCAGGTCGCCAAACCAGCAAAAGCCAGAGGCAGAGGCTAATGCATCCTTCTGTACAAACGTGCTTTCCTGAACCGGGGCCTAAGAGTTTCCTCGCGTCCCCCTGGTTTTTGGCAGAGGGAAGGAATCTTCTTTTGTCTCGTGTCACGAGCTGCTTGGCAGTGCTGAGGTTTGCTTCAGTCTCTCATGATTTTCCTCAAAGGAATGTACTGCAGTAGCCTACAGTGTTTGATTTTTCAAACCACAGCGAGTCAAAGGCTGCCGAAAGGCCTGCCTCCAATTCTGCTGCCCTCCGCATTTTGGGTAGGGCCACAGGAGCCCTGTGGCACACTCACGCCTGTGGGTACAGCGACAGCAAGAGGACACTGAGGCACAGCACATGGATTCACCACAAGGCTGGGCTTTTTTGTTTAAATATCTGAGGCCCGATCGCTTGGCAAGAGGCCATGGGGACAGATTTAGGGCACCTTCTGCCTCGCCCCATCCTTCTGCTATAGCCAAAAATCGACTCTCAGGCTCAGTGCGAGACCAGGACTTTCAGTGACCGTAGTTTCCCATATAGCAATGGAAAGCATGAGTGAAACGTGCCCGTGTACCACAGTGCCAGCAACCCCGTGTGTGTACGGGGAGAGGGTAATTTCTGGAGGTCAGCAGAGCTGCATGTGCTGTTGAAATACAAATACCAGAGATAATTTATGGACCAATAATAATTAACAGAAATAAGCGATAACCCAGTAATTATTATAATGCTCAGCACTTGAATGCCATCACCTAATTAGCCTGCCCAATACCTTTGTGAGTTAGATATTGTTATAATCCCTATCCTACCAGTGGAGAAACTACGGAGGCCTGCAGAAGGTCGGGGGATGTAAATCAAAGGACCAAAAATCCTGACGCTCAGTCCTGGCCCCAGACCACACCTCTCTTGAGACTGACTTGATAGGAAGAGGGAGGACAGTGGAGTCCTTGTCCGTCATCCAGACCACTGCAGTGGAAATCCAGATCCGGTCTTTAAAGGGAAGTGTGTGTAGGTGGCTGATTGCAAAACTGTCAGAGACAGCTGTTAAATTGCACTGGACTCAAACCCAACGCGAGCCTTCACCCAGGGCTGCGGATGTGCCAGCGTAGGCTCAGCTTGATTCACAGGAAGGGACACCGTAATTCAGAAAGGGCAAAGGCTAGGAAAATTTCCAAGGCAGAGTGAAAATGGATGCCCTCTGTTCCCGCAGGACAATCAGCTGCCTTTTCCAGCTGAGGGATGAGGTGATCAGAAAGGCCAGGCGGCAATGAGGAGGAAGGGCCTTTGCACTCATGCAGGGCTGACGACTAGCCGGAGGCTCCTGCCCCCCGCTCAGGAAGGAGGAGTATTAAGCAGAGACGAGCCTTCAGGAAAAGCTGAGCCGAGTCTGGTCCTGCAAGATGCCAAGAATCCGCCACTCCCTGCGTTCAACGGGGACCCGTGATGCCCGAAGCCTTGTCATGTGGCGCCGTCCTGAGCTGAAGCCCTATCCATGCTCCAGAAGAAAAAGGCCTGTTAAACACTGGCCCAAGAACCGTGCTTCAACTGAGTCCTGGTTTCTGCAAGTATTTGGCTCGCTTGATAGCACGGCAAAAAAGGAAGCAAGAGGACGGCCAACCAGTGGAAAGCCTAAAGATCTGGGTGTTGAAATGGGTACCCATAATATAGAGCCTAACACCTCGGGGTTGTTAGCAAAGAAGAATTATTTCTCCATCAAGCTGCAGAATATACCCAAATCCTGACAGGCGAGGTCTTTTGTGGGTGATATCTTTGGTTGAACTAACTGCATGTTTGGGACAGATGTGGACAAGCTTGCAAACGCGGTGCGTTCTTCAAATCCTGATATAAGCAGAGGCCTCGCTATTCTGATACAAAGCAATGACTTCACATTTCCACGGGGCCCACTGGCAGCAATCAGCAACCTTACCGAGGACAGGCGGAGAGAAAACAACAGGCTGGCGATACAAAGTCCGTCCAACAGACGTGTTCCCGGATGACTGGGCCTAGGACAAGACAGATGTTCTGAATCCGCCGCACCGCTGCTCTGCAGCCCTCGGATCCAGGTGTGGAACAGCTGGGGGGCAGTTCATGTCCGAGAAGATGCGATATTCCTAGGCAGTTGTGGGCTGTGCATCCCTGCTCTGTGGTGATATCTCCGTCTCAGAAAGAAAGGGAACGCGCTGTTCGTGCTGCCAAAGGCAATCTCGAGTCTTGCTGATGACCAACCGTCAGGGCTCAGGGGGACATTTCAAACTCGCACTTTTCCTGACAGTTCCCCAAAGAGGAGTGAGTGCGCATGCTCTAAAGAAATTCAAATACGGTGGGTGCTCGGATTGGGAAAGGAGCATCTTTCTCAAGATTTGCTTGCCTGGATATGCAGCGCACCCAGACACTAGCATCAGGTAGGACATTTCCCTCCAAGGCCTGGGGACAAACCACAGAAACATAAGAGGCCATTAACCAGTTACTTAACCCATCACCCCACACAACTCAGTGGCTATCACTGTACAGGAATGGTACTGGACTATTTACAGACATGTATAAATTTCACTTTGATTGCTGTAAGCCCTTGGGGGGGAAACAAAAGCCATCAACTGACAGGACTATGTGCAGCTAACTTGACAATGCAAAGTAATTTAATAAAGCGCCACTCCAAGAGGAATACTGTGATGCATGCCCGCAGTTTGGAGCAGAAGCATAACCACCGATCTTATTTGTTAAGGCAAGTTTTCAGTCATAGGATCACGGACAACGGGGGCTGGAAGGGAGCTCAGGAGGTGACATCTCCTGAGTCCAACCCCCTGCTCCAAGGAGGACCGGCCCCAACTACATCATCCCAGCCACGGCTGTGTCTAGTTGGGCCTCCAAAACCTCTCTGGGTGACCTGTTCCAGCGCTTTACTACCCTCCTGGTGAAAAAGTTTTGCCTAATATCCAACCTCAACTTCCCTTGCTCCAACCCCTTGTTCTGTCATCCGCCCCCACTGAGCACAGTCCAGCTCCACCCTCTTTAGATCCACCCTTCAGGAGGTGACGGCTGCTATTCAATCCCCCTCAGTCTTCTCTTCTGCAGATTAAATAAGCCCAGTTCCCTCAACGTCTCCTCACAAGTCCCTGAACCATTTTCACTGCCCTCCACTGGACTCTCTCCAATGTGTCCACATCCTTTCTGTAGTGGGGGCCCAAAACTGGACACAGGACTCCAGATGTAGCCTCACCAGTGCCAAACACAGGGGGAAAAATCACTTCCCTCAGTCTGCTGGCACTGCTCTTACCAATGCAGCCCAGGATGCCGTTAGACTTCCTCCCAGCAAGGGCACACTGCTGGTTCATATTCAGCTTACTGTCCATTGTCACCCCAGGTCCTTTTGTGCGAGCTGCTGCCCAGCCAGTCGCCCCCAGCCTGCATGAGACTGCTCTGTCCTAAGCGCAGGACTTTGCACTTGTCTTTGTTGAACCTCACGAGATTTCTTTTGGCTCGGTCCTCCAATTTGTCTCAGTCACTCTGAATCCTAGCCCTACCCTCCCACATATCTACTACTCCCCCCAGCTCAGTGTCACCTGCAACCTTGCTGAGGGTGCATCCATCCCATCTTCCAAGTTGCTGGACCATCTCCTAGGTCCAGTCCGCGTGTCTGTCCACCCATCTGTCCGTGAGTGGCTCAGAGTGTGGATGCCACATCACTGCCAAAGGGAAGACCCGGC